ATTGTATTCATTGTTTGAGCAAAATGTTCATTATGTGAAAGTGATATTAATGATAATGATGATTTTTTTGTTACACTTGTATATGCTTGCATACGAAACCAGTCAAGACGTAATGCACGTAGATCAGCACTTGCTGTTGTTGATAATGTTGTTATTGTATTATAAAATGATGTTAATAAAATTGATTCATCTTCAGTACATGACATATTAAGATTTTTGATATTTATTTGTAATTCATTCGAATCAAGTGTTGATAAACATTCAATATAATATTGTTTAATTACAGAAGAATATGTTGTAATTAAATGACGAAGTTCCTCTAAATGGAAAAATCAAAGAAATAAAAAATCTAATGAATTGATTTTTTTTTACCAATATAGAATAAAAATTCTGGATATGTTCGATCACTATAATCATCTCGTGTTGTACCAGTTGTTTTTTTATTTGCTTCTTTTTGAAGTTTAGTTGGAAAATTTTCACTATGTCGTAACAACCAAACGATTTCATCACGTGCTAAACTTAGTGCAGTAAAAGCAGTTAATAGTTTCGGACCTAAAATAAATAAATATAATATTTCATTGAAGAAATTCACTATCTGCTGTAGTTAGAAGATTATTTTAATTATTAAAAAAGATTTAACGATTGTGCATCTAATAAAAAGTGATTTCGAAATATGCTATACTTAATATTTCAATTGATATTCGTACTCTTATAAAAAAGTATGGTTGAAGAGCTAATGATTTCACCTTATGAGATAAAGTATTGTTATTTAAATAACAAATCCGCGTTTTTGTCGTGGTCTATCGTCATCTTTATTCAGTGACCACGAAACGTGCAGAAGATCCGGGGTATCGAGGTCCGGGGTATGTGGTTGAAGGGGTCTATCGTCATCTCTATTCAATGATCACGAAACGTATGGAAGGTCCGGGGTATGTGGTTGAAAGGGTCTATCGTAAGGGGCAAAGGCTGCTTTAAGTTAACCAAAAATCAAAATTAAATCATTGAAATCACAAATCGCTTTTTCTCCCTTGGTTATAGATCTTTCCTTCATTGAAGTTCAAGCAGTGCTTATTATTACTCATGAAATAGAAATTCTCATTGTATTGTACTAATAATTATTTAAAAGAAAAAATCTCGTTATTTACCAAGTAACGCTGGTTGATCTGCAAAAATTAAAGCCAATTCTTTTAGTTGTGGTCGAATATATTTTCGTCTTTCACGTCTATATAAAGGTTGTTCTGTCATTGCCTTTTTAAATGTATCATTCAATAATTCTGTTAATTTTAATTGTCTATATGATTTATAAATATCTAAATTTTGATGTAAATATTGATGTGTTAATAATAATTCATCTCGATAAAGTACATGAACGAAACTATTCGATAAAGCTTTTTCAAATAATTGCATACATTTTGAATTCATAACCAATTGTTGTGGACATACAATTAATGTATAGATAATCCAACGTTCAATTGTTTCTTGTGATAAATATTCACATGGTAAAGTTTCTGATGCATCCATTAAATGAGCTGTTTGAGGTGTAGCAAGTAAACTAAGTAAAGTTTTTGCACGCCAATCTGATACTTTACATGTACGACGATCATATATTGGTGCTAAGGATTGTATAGCATCACCAATTGAACGTACATGAGGAACAAATTCATCATGTAATTTACGTAATGGTTGTTCATAATCAATTATCATTTGACCAAGACGTGGAAAACTTGCATCACCATGACCATGTGTTAAATCTGTAGCTATATTATAAAGACCAAGAACTACTTTACGATCGTCAACACGTGATAAAAGAATCATAAGTGATATATATGTTGAAATTAATTCTAAATATGATTTTGTTAAATCGTAATTAAGTGCCTAAATTCACAAAAACAAATTAATTTTTGACAAATTTTAATTAGATACGTACAATATCAAAATGAACTTGACATGCATCGATAGTAGTTAATAAATCAGTAACGTGATCCTAGAAAAAAAAGATAGAATTTAATTAGAAACAGAATATGATAAGAAAACAAAAAGTAATTTACTCGAAATTCTAATAGATCGACAAATGTAAAATAATATATTGCAAGTGATTTGATTATATCAGTTTTAATAGATGTAAGTGATTGAAATTGACTCTAGAAAATAGATTATTCAGATATGTATTCAATAAAAAGTTAAATATATACTTTGTCAACGGCTGGAAATTTTTTTTGTATCTGACGAAGAACCGATTCGAGATTTTTATCAAGTAGAAATGATGGTTTCGATTTTGTTTCAGCACATGCCTAGAATAAAAAAACATAATTTTTAACATTCATCTTTTTTATAAAACAAATAAAAATTACTTTTTTAATATTAAATATTCTCGTTAACATTCCAATTCCTCGATCATTGAGAATCGTTAATTTCTCTGCTAATTTTTGTTGATGAGGATTAATTTGATGTGCCATTCTCTCTTAATCTAGAACAATTAAAAGAAAAAAAAACAGTTTATAAAAATCATTAAATCGTTTAATAACACCAAAAAAAAAAATAAAAGATAGAAGAAAGAAAATTTAATTTGAAAGACAATCAAATACTGTTATTGTTTTATTCTTATCACAAAGGTAATATTGGCACATCGAGTAAAGATTTCATTAAATTAGTTCCATTAATAAAATGTGTAGTTGCAATAATAAAATCATGATTTTTATCCGCTAAAAATCTTAATGCAGCAATTTCTCCATATGTTATTCCGCCAATAAAAACAACTAAAGTTACTTTTGATTCTGTACTTTGTTGTTGTGTTTGTCGTTGAGGTTGAATTGGTTGTTTAGTTGTTTTATTTAATGAACTAAGTGATGTTGTTGAACCATGTCTATGTCGTTTTAATTCCATTGGTACTTGTTGTGTATCAATAAATGTTGTACCAGGTAAAATATTCATTGCATCTTGAATATTATTTGTTGTTGGAAAAACAATTTTCTCTATTAAACGTACACTTATGGGTGCATATTGATAATAAATATAATGAATATCTTGTGGTTCAACAACATTAACTGCTTGATCTTCTTGTAATAAATTAAATTCACGTTTTAAACGATCAAGATTTGTTTCATTTGTTCGAATTGTTGATGATGGTTTATTCGGATCGGATAAATATATGATTCCAATTTGTTCAAGTGCATGAATTAAAACAAGATATTGTAAACCAAATGTTTGAATAATATCTTTTTTTATTAAATCATAATCTTTACGTTTTAATTGTGGACCTAATGCATGTGTTATAATAGATAAATAACGTAATATACAAAAAATATTATCTTTCCAGGCAATTCGTTCATCAATTTGACGTAAAGCATCTTGTACAATAGGTGAAAATAATATGGATAATTGATTAGCTAGATACATATCATAATTAGATGTTAATTCATGTTTAATACAAAATGCTAATTCAAGATGTGTTGATAATGTTTGAATTTTGGAATTTTGATTCGACATTCGAACAACAAATTTACGTAAAGCAGCTAATTTTTCACCTTGAATTGTTGATGCTGAACCGGAAAAATTTGCATCAAAATCAGTACGTAATTGTCGTTGAGCACGAGCACCTTCTTGAAGTATTTTACCAACCGGTATCATATGTAAATAACGTGTATCGGAATATAATTGATCAGTTGTTAATAAACGAATAGCAATTTTTTCTTTTGTAGCTATATCAATTTTTTGAGCTTCACGAAAATCGGCACTAAATGTTGCGGTTGGAACTTCAATACGATTGAATTGAATGCCAAAAACTTCATCTAATAAAGCTTCATACGTTGCTGGTATCATCATTGGTGTAATTAAATCAACTGTTCGATCAATTAATATAAGATTTTCAATTTGTGTTGGAACTTTTTTTTCATTATCGGGAACTTCACGTTGCATTCTCAACATATTATCATAACATTGTTTAGCTTTATCACCTTTAACAAATACATTTGGTATAATACCATATAATTTTTGTAATGTTATAAGACCATGTGCTAAACTAAATAATGGTGTTGTATCATTATTTAAATATAAATCTCTAAAACAATCATTCGATTCCATAGATAATAAATCTGTATCAATAGGTAGAAAATCTAAATTAAGTTCATCAATAATAATATCACCGCGAACACCTTGTTCCTTTAATTTTTCTTCACAAACACGTGAACGTCGTGGAACAAATATAATTCCATATTGCTTTGAATTTTCTTTTGACTTTAATTTATTTAATTTATTCATTTCATCTTTTATCATATTAGCAATAACTTCCATATAAACAGCTTTTGGTCGAACAATAAATAATGTTATTCTATAATCGGATGTATCATGTTGACGTTCTTTAAATATTCGAATATCACTTGCACCAAGATCATTTAATGCTTGAACATGGCCAAGTAAATTTTTAATATCATCATCAACTATAACACATTTATCTTTTGTAAATTGTTTTGGTAAATGACTTTTTTCTGTATGAAATTGATTTGTACAACGTTTTATTTCTTGAATAATATAATCACGAAGAATAGTTAAATTAATACGACCTGTTTTTAAATAAGTAAAATCTTGTTTTGCTGGTGGAGCTGTTGTTCTTGCTGACATTTTTTGCTGATATTTAATTACAAAGGGAACGAACAAACAATTAGTTAGCAAAAAGTTCAATAAGGAAAAAAAAGAAAAGAAAGAAAGAAAGAGAAAGAATAGCGCTATGAGTTAAATATGAATAACGTTGATTGTAGTGTACCTATGAATTGAACCAATGGAATTTAAGAATATAATGCTTCTTATCTCCTGCAATGATTCATCAAGGCATCAACGAAAGAGCACATGAGTACGAGTACGTACTTAAATATCTTTTTAATTTTGCCACTTAACAAATAACCAAAACAGAATCAAGATAATGGCTTTTATATATCAAATTGTTACATATATATTAAATGTGATTTTCGTACACATATATACATCGAATGTTTACGTATACAAATTTTATCTTCTTTCTAGATTATTTATATGATAAAATAGAGCTTCCTTTCAAGAAAATAATGTTACAAAGTACACCAAGTATTGCTGAAGAAGATGAAAATAATGATAATGAACAATATGATTATGATCGCTTGCAATTTCCTATTGATAAACGATTAGATACTAGTCTTCTTAAGAATCAACATGAACAATTACCTCAAATAACTTCACCAACAACGTAAGAAAATTAACCAAAAGTAGTAATATAAATCATTCTTTTTTTTAATATTCTATAGAACTGGTTTGAGTTCATGGCGTATTCCACGTCTTCTATTAAATTTTATATCCGTCTCACCACATATGCTTGCTCAAGCTGAAGAACGACTATATCAAGGTATGATTAAATTAATTCATATTTGTTTTAATAATTAATTCTTTGTTTTTCTAGATTTAAAAAATAAGTATTACGGTGAATATGTACATATTCGGTAAGTTGAAAAAATCAAATTCTTATATATGTAATATTTATCTTAGTGGTGATAATCTAATTTGGACAGTACGAAGTTTAAATTCACCACCAGATACAATACCTATTGTACTTATACATGATTTTGGTTGTGCTAGTGGTATATGGGTACAAAATATTGATTTTTTAAGTGCACGTCATCCTTTATATATGTTTGATATACTTGGTTTTGGCCGTTCATCACGACCATGTTTTGATCAAACAAATAATATAAGTGCTGAAACAAAATTTGTTGAATCCATTGAAGATTGGCGTATAGCTGTTGATTTACAAACAAAATTCTATTTAATTGGTCATGGTTTTGGAGCTTATTTAGCTACATTATATACGCTGAGATATGGACAATTTATTAAAAAATTAATACTTCTTGATCCATGGGGTTTTAATCCAAAACCTGATGAAAATCAATTAAATTTAAGTACACCATTATGGATTAAATTAATTGCTTATATTACACAAACATGGACATCATTTTCTGCATTTCGTTATTTTGGACCATTAGGTAAATAGAAATTATTATTTAAAAGAAACAGAATTAGTTTTCTTTTTTGTTGACATTGATTAATCGTTTGAAACACGCATTCCCTATGAGAGATTTAATGTTTGTTTTTCTTCTAATGACAAATAATCATGAAATGAAATCTTGCAATTTTTTTTCTCTCAAATTATTTAGGTTTACCAATACTAAAACTACTTGCACCACGATGGAAACGTTTAGCACCAATAGATTCATCATATGAAAAATCCAATGCACTCTATGAATATCTATATCATGTTAATGTTCAACCAGCTAGGTATATTTATATATAATTTGAAAAGGTTAAATAAAACTATTCATTCTTCCATTTTTTCCCTAACAAAAATCAAATAGCGGTGATGTCGGTTTTCAAGCATTAGCATCATGGTATGGTTGGGCGAAAGAACCAATAGTTCAAGTTGAACATTCACGTATAGAAAGTATATCAGATGAAATTCCAATTGTATTCATATATGGTTCACGTACGAGTATTGATAATACAGCTGCACATCAAATTCTTCATCAACGTGGTCCAAATAATACTTATATTAAAGTACGTTCAACATTAAAGAGAATAACTAATATTCAATTTATTTTTTTATAATAGATTATTCATAATGCGGCACATTTCTTTTTCATGGAAAAACCCATTCAATTTCATGAAGTCATAAGTGAAATTTTAACTGATTTACCAGTTTACTTTCGTACATTAGCATCCGTAGATAGAACAATTACTACAACAGTACTTCCACCAGAGTAAGAAACATCTGTAATTTAGATGACAATGATATTGTAGTCAGATGCATAATTTATCCGGTGTGTGTTTACATTTTGTGATTTTCTTTTTTTCTTGTATGTGTGTGTGTAAAAGAACAGTGATAGTTTTTTTTCTTGTTATATATAAAAACTATGTGAGCGTTATTTCAGATATTAAGCATATTAATGGCGACGGCGAATGACTTTTTACAAAATACAGATAGTAACTTAACATCTCCATCAAATGCAATCGATGAGATGATTTCTATGTCAATTTATGACCATACCAACCCGAGCAATCAAAGTTCTGATAAATCAGCAGCAGATCAAACTACTACCAATAGAACAAATTTTTCTCCTAGGTTAGTATTTTAACAAAAAAGCGAAGAATTTTTATAATTTATAAAGATATTGATTAAATTCGATACGATTGATTTATATATTTCTAATTAATTTTAGCATTGTATGCTCTATTTCGTTCAATAATTATATATCTGTATGTTTTTACAAAGGAAATGACTTTTTCTTTTCCACTATCTTATATATGTCTACAATTGAATGAAAAACAGTATTTTTCAAATGATTGTTGCATGATAATACTGGAAATTTTTTTTTATGACACTTGCTTGAGTTCTAGTAAACTTTATTAAGTATAATCTCTGATAAAGCATAACAGAAATCTTGTCAAGAGTTCTAACTATATATAATAACTGTTTTTAGGATTAATTAAATTGTGTTAAAGCTCTATAACTTGATCATGACTGCTGCTATCCGTTTCTTATGATTTAAATTACTGTTGATATTCTTTCAAAAAAAATAAAGTTTAAAAATCTTGTTATTTTAATCTTTTTTTTCTAGTCGCTTCCGTACAATTGAATCATTAAAACGACTTAATTGGAATAATACTGGACCTGAACAATTAGCTCGCGCTGAAATGAAAGTATTTGAAACATTAAAATCCAAATTTCAAGGTCGACATATTCCTGTTTCAAATAATACACAAAAAATCTGGACTGTTTATTCAAATATAACATCTAAAAACTACCCACTAGTCCTTGTGCATGGTTTCGGTGGTGGCGTTGGTTTATGGAGTTTAAATCTCGATCAATTATGTCTTGATCGACCTGTTTATGCTCTTGATTTGCCAGGTTTTGCACATAGCAGTCGACCAGTATTTAGTCTTGATCCAATTGAAGCTGAACAACAATTTGTTGACATGCTCGAAGAATGGAGAATTGGTATTGGATTAAATGAACCATTTATATTACTTGGTCATAGTTTTGGCGGATTTTTATGTGCTGCATACGCATTACGATATCCAAAATATGTCAAACAACTTATATTAGCTGATCCATGGGGTATGGGGCAAAAACCAGATGATTGGCAAACGTCACCTATGCAACGTATACCACCATCGTTAAGATCACTTTCATCTGTAATAATGAAATTTTCTCCACTTGCTGCACTTCGTGCAGCAGGACCATTTGGTAAGAAATTATCTAATATTTTTATTTTACTTTCATGTCATTTAATTTAATTAGGCGTTAAAATAATGAAGTACTTCCGAGCTGATTTACGTATAAAATTTGAAAAATTATTTGACGATGATAGAGTATTAGTTTATCTATATCATTGTAATGCTCAAGTGCCAACTGGTGAAGAAGGTTTTCGAACAATAAGTGATTGTCTTGCTTGGGCAAAACGTACATAAATAGTTTTTTTTGTTTTAAATTTAATAAAAATTTTAATTACTTGTTTCTAGAACCAATGGTTGATCGAATACAATTAATTGACGAAAAAATTCCAATACATTTTCTACATGGTGAAGAATCTTGGGTTGATGTTGCACCATCGGTAATGGCGAAATCAAAATGTGAAAATGTTACTATAGATACAATTCCAAATGCTGGACATCATGTAAATAAAAAAAAGAAAAATTTTTTGTTAATTTTGTTTCTCTTTTCATAGGTTTATGCTGATGCACCGGTAGAATTTGAAGCATATTTAAAAAGAGTGTTAATCAACAAAGAATGAATGATACTTTTTAATTGTGTACAGTAACGGTGCTTGTTTATGAGCTGTGATTGTATTCGTGTTTTCTATTTATTCCAAAATAAATTTAATCAAAATGTACCGTAAAAATGATGATATTATGACTAACTTTTACGAAAATAAATTCTGTAAAATTAAAAAGGAAATTAGATCATTGAATGTTTCTTTATTCCGGTTGAAATGAACAAAGAATTGTTTGATTTCCTTTTTTATATATAACTAATTAACAAGCTATTTTAAGTCATATGTTTGTTTAATTATAAAACAAATGCGAAATAAGATGAAATGAATAGTAGATAGTGTAATTGTTGTTAGTTTTTCATTCTTGACTTTATTTGTTGATCATGACAAAGATAAACTAAGACCCTAGACAAGATAATTTTTACTATTTAGATAAAGTTTATAATACAAACTTGGATGATGTTCAAGGTAGTAAAGAATATATAAGAAAATGAACTTAGAAGGAATGAGTCTTTGTGCAAATAAAACAAATAATATTTCTTATTTTTATTTGATGATATGAGAACTATTGATCGGTTCTAAGTAAATTTTTTTTATTCAAATTATTTATTAGATTAATTAGCCTTGCTGTATAATAAATTAAAAATCAAATGTATAAAGATTAGAACTACGAACCTACTACGCATATATGTTAATTCGTAAATAAATAATTTTAATTAAAATCTATATCGGTCTAAAAATAATCCAATCTCCGGTGCATATAGAGTAAGTGATCGATCATTTGTAGAATATGTTAAATAAATGTGTAGGAGAGGATTTATGTTTCCTTTGTGCTAATTAGTATTTACTTTATAAACACTAATTCGTCAATGTACTTAGTTAAGTCTCACAAATATTACAACTCAAGTAGTTTTCTTTAAAAGTGCATTTCTTCCAAAGCGAATCAAGTATTATTTTTCCACTAAGAATAAATATAGTTTTAAAAAATAATAAATAATAAAATAAGATATATAAAACTATAACATGGAATCAGTATGGAAGACTTTGAATTTGAATCAATTGTTAATGGTGGATGCATAGAAAATCGAATGGCATTAAAAATTGATGTTTGATCTAATGCTTTCAAATAAATCTCTTGACGTCCTGAATTAAGTACAAAATCTCCAACTGATATCCAACGTGAAACACTAGTTTGCTGATTATAAATATATCCATTATCTCCATCAGTTTCATTATAAGCATCTGTTACAGCAACATTTAATCGAGATATACTATTCGTAGATGCATCAAAAAATGATGGATTCCATATTGAGACAGTGTAAACACCACGTTCAGATAGAATCGGATGAATGTAACATGAACTATTAAAAGTAATTAATGATTGTCCAATATTATCTTTTGGTAATGGTGGTGTGTGTTTAATGACTTGATTTTTACATGTGTAAATATCGTTATTATCAGTTGTAAATATTTTTGTCGATGGAGTATTGAGTGAAAATTTTTCAAGAATCATTTCAGTAAAACGACCAAGAATATAAAAATCACTTGCACCACGTTGATAACCATTACTAAATGCTGAAAGAATTATTTCTTTTCCATTAGGTAATATAATATAAGCGATTTCTTCAACTGTATCATAAGCATTACCAACTTTTGAATATAATATTGTACCTGCTGGTAAACCATTACCAAATGTTGTATGATCACTTTCAAGTGTACGATAAAGCATAGATTTCATATATTGTAATTCATTATTTGGACGTGTTTGCATTAAATAAAGCATAAATGATGCTGTACAACATGATTGCAAAAGATTCCGTCCAGGAACTGCAAGTAAAACAGATTCACTACCACCAGGTGTTTGTCCTGAATTTGTTGGATATGTTTTACTTCGAATTACTTGATTCTCATATAGATTAAGATCTTTCATTAAACGTTCAGTTGATAAACGTTGATAAAACCAATTTGACCAACGTGTATCATTAGCTGATGTTAAATCATCAATATTTGTTGTATTTGTTATTGCATCAACAACATAACCTGTATCTAAATTTGATGAAACAACAATCATCGGTCGAACATATCTATCTAAACAATCAATTGAATATCCTTGATTTTTACACCATTCCATTGCTGCATACATATACATTAATTTTACAGTTGATGCTGGATAAGCTATTAGAGTACCATCAACACTACCTCTTTTCCATGTCTGTGTATTTTTTTCTCTAATAAGTATAGTTGCAGATAACCGAGTAAAATTAATCGATGGTTGTTTTTCAAGAAAATCATCACGAACTTGTTTAATCTCATTAGCTAATTGTTCATCATTAATAATTTCAATTGATGGTATTTTATTACAACCACATTCTTCACAATTAACATTCACAATCAATAGAAAAAAAACTACTGTTATACAGCAAAGAATATTCATGTCTGTGGAAAGCAAAAAAATGAAAATATACAACTGATAAGCTTAAAATATATCAAGTATCATGATAAACAACAATAAAATTTCAATGTCATGTGTATTGTATGCCTTGCAGGTATATGATACCTTAGGAATTTCATTAAAATATATTGTAGGCAGAATAGGTCAATATTACGATTGTCACATTATCGTTATGATTATTCATTAGGAAATCAGGACAGCGATTGTGTTCTTAGTACACGCCCACATACTATTTAGTGTGGAAGGAGAGAGAAAGGAAATGTAGGCGATAAGAAAGGAAAATGTGTTCAATCATCATTGTGTTCATCTGTTCCTTCATATATTGCGAACATCATGTAAATATTAATAGAAAGAGAAAAAAAAACAAATTCGTCATCTCTCCTAGATTTTATATAGATATTAAAGCAAATGAATGACATTTATTTCATTGTCAGTAATCTTCTTACAATGAATAATCATCGCCTTTATTTTATAAACATGATTTGTCAATCCATCGAGTGATTACTTCACAAAAGATTATCAGAGCACGTCATATTTAATATATTAAATATATAAGTAAGCTTACGTGAGTTTGGCGAGGTGACTATAAAATAACCTGAATTTATTATAGAATTATTATTAATTAAATAAGTTAAGAACTTGAGAGGGTAGCATATTTTATATTTTGAAAACTTTCTTTTTTTATCAGCAGTTTTTTTTGTTCATCGGTCGACTTAACATAAATTTATGAAACTATTCACCTTCATACGTAAAAGTAGTGTAGATTTTAAATATACTAGTCCTTCGTTTATAATAAAACGAAATTATTTATCTTTGAATTAGTAAAGGTTTAAATAGAATATTTTTTCTTTAATAATTCTTACAAATATTTATAGTTATTATTTCTTTTTTTTTCTAGTTTCAAATAATGAAACAATTTTATTTTCTATCCTTTGTTATTTTTATCTATCTCCTTGTATTACAACCGTCCATAGTTGAATGTCGTCATCGCAGTCAAAGAATTGTTATTCATGGCCATGAATGGACAGTGCCTAATGAGCCCGGTTGGGATAATGGTAATTTTAGTAAATTTTTTTTAGTTTTAAAAAAAATTCATTTTCTTTTAGTTCTTCGTGAAGCTGAAGCAGTTCGTCGTCGATTACTAAGTAACTGTGCTTCAAGTCGAGAATGTCGACTTGCAGCTGAAAAATTACGTGAAGTTTTTCTAAAACATCCAATTTCAGCAAAATATTATGATGATTCTATCGGCAGTGATTTCCCTCGAATGGAAGGTACTTCAATATTTAAATGGGGATAATCTATTAATGTTTTAACGACAACGAAAAAACATTCTGAAGGAAAAAAAACCAAAGTTGCAATATATAATTTTGATTATTTATTATCATAATAAATAACATGATTTTAACAAAAAAATAAAATTGTTTTATATATAACTTTCATTTAGATAATGTTTTTTCTATATTAAAAAAAAATAAAAGTATTTGTCGTAATTTACTTCCGTATGTTCATTTGTTTGATGAACTGCAAATATTAAAACTCGATTAAATTCCATAAGCCTCGAACAAATTCATTTACTTATAAGCACCTGTCACGCATGTGCTATTTAACTGATAAATATAAACATGAGTTTTTGAAAAAGATTGTATAAATAATCAATCTAATCGATTAAAATGTTTTTATTATTCCAGAAGAAAAGTGAATTAGAATGTTATTATAACGTATATATTTATTTGATTTACTTGTTTTGTTTTTGATTATTATTAATTCGAATTATTTGTCATACTGAAAATAACAACTCACTAGGGTGGGTGTGGATGTAAATGATGATGTAAGACTAGAAAAGATAACTACTCCCACAACTACCCATACCCAATTCTAGTCATGAGCAAAATGCCCGGTGGTACAGTAATCTTAGTTGAATGAATAATTTAGTTCGAAAATGATGTAAGAAAATAGGTATTTTTCAAGATGATTCATTTTAATGCTTATCGCACTTCTCAACGTGGGTAAGTCAATAATGTGTCATTTACATTTATCTGTTATAAATACAGCAACAGAACGATAAAAAGCTTTTCTTCACAATAAACATACATCTTTATATACTGAAATCAATGGAGCAATTACCAGATGAGATATGGCTATTAATTTATCGCTATTTACATCATATTGATATTCTTAATTCATTTACTAATTTAAATAATCGTTTTCAAGTACTTATTAGACCATATTTATATAATATTCATCTAAATGATATATCATTAAACTCATTTGAACAATTTACACACAAAATTTTACCGAATTATGGTGATCATATTCGATCGTTAACTATAGAAAGTATCCATCATATTAGTTTTTTTAATGAAAACAATATTTTACAATTGATGAAGAACTTAGAATCTGTGACATTTACAATTAATCGTAACGATAATTTACAAATCATACATTCTTGGTATTCACATTTAAACTCTATGCAACAATTAACCCAAATTCACATAGAAGGATCATATGATTCAGCTGAGACTATTACTAACATAAATACATTTGCACCATCATCATTAACTAATTTAACAGTACTTTCTCTATATCCTGCTCCATCGTTTGAAAATCCAATAAATATACAACTAAATATAAAAATACTAAAAATTCATGTATTTTATTTGTATCACGCATGGACTTTATTGCAAAACTTAGTGAATTTGGAAGAATTATATCTATCTGTATCAGATATGGCCGAGACGACTGCTGTAAAAAAAATTATTGTATCACGTTTTTTAAACAAACTACATTTAGAATTTGGACGTTTTGAAGAATCTACGTATGCAACATATTTTGAAAGAATGATGAACTTTTTAGAACATTTTAAAAATCAATTACAAACACTTATATTACTTGTAATAAGTAGTGAACCAGAATTTATTGATCCAAATCAATTACAATTAATAGAAAAAAGTTTTTCACATTTAAAATCATTTGAATATTTGATTCATACAACTCATTGCCCATCACACAATTTTGATCAAGTTCAACAACTACCCAATGAGACTTATTTGATTTCTACAAAAAAACCTCGTCGTCCAGTTAGTTTTTCTCATAAATTACGAAATGATTTTACATGTGAATTTGATAGTGATCTTCAGTTAAACGAATTATACAATACAGATGCGCTAAGTTTGATGCCTGTAATTCAATTATTCCCTTCACAACCTTTTGATATCTGTTACAAATTATCTAATTTACGCTATTTATCTTATAATGAAGGAAGAACTGATAGTTCACGTTTAGATCAACCTGAATTGTTTTCAAAAATAATACTTCAATCACCAAATTTACGAGTTTTGAATATTGAATTGGAAAATTCATCAGATATTTTCGAATTATTACAATATATCCCTTATCCACTAACAAAAATCAACCATTTCACGTGCAACTATTCTCAATTATCTCATGTACGATTTATAAAGGAGTTAGCACAATTTCTTCCTTGTGTAAAACATCTCCAGTTAAAAGTAAAGTTTACTAATGATTACAATTGGAATGATAAACTACAATTTCTGACAAGGACAATTCTTCAAACAAGACAATATTTCAAAAATATGATCAATCTACACCTGTACATGAATATCAATAGTAATAAAAATTACATGATATATAAAGAGTTGAAATTTTGGTGTGATTTACAATGTTTAAAAACATATTGTCCTAAAGATGAACCCTACTTATTAGTTTCTAGAGAAACTATATTTTCTATTTGTTTGTAAAAGCATTCTTTTTTTTTAATTCGAAAGTATATAAATACAGAAATAATAACTAAGACTTCAGAAACTGATTTCTTCTAGTATCTTTGAACGTAAATACGCATGATATTATTTTTGAAATTTATTTAAAAATAATATAAAGTATGCAATAGGATGCATTCATTATATATAAAATAAATACAAAAAAATACCTGGTATTTTGCGAGAACTAAATTTTTGTCTTGATAAGAAGGTTAAATTGAGGGTGGATGTGTTTGTAGGTAACATAACAAAATTCACACCCACATCGTCAACGTTCATACAAATTATTCAGTAGGAACGACTGTGTTTCGTCGGCATCGATTTCGAATTTTAAATATGATTTCGATTACGAATGGAATGCTAAATCGTAAAACAACAGTTAATCCACCATATAAACCAAGAATATTTGATGATATAGAAGCAAAATAATTATCTCTTTCAATTTTATAAGAGCATTCCTGTGGATTACATTGCTTATAAAATGATGAATAAGACGTAATATTGTTCCATTCTTCAACAAATAATTCATCGGCAATATTTTGAATAGTTGTATTTGGTTTGAAATGACTATGATTTAAAAAACTCATTGCAGATATATTTATGTAATGAGAATGTTCAAATGTATATTGCTCTATATTAGATAATAATGAATTTAGACATATTTGATCATATAAACATTCAAATGTTGAATGCAATAATGTTTCGACTACGGAACATCCAACATTCCATCCAGGTATTAGAAATTTTGCTGTATTATTCAACGTATCATAAACTCCACCTGGATCGATACAATCACTTCGTGTTCCACATGAACATTTGTTTGTCATTTTAACTGGTTGAATAGGATTTATATCAGAAGTACTATTGTATTCTCTATAAAAGTACCAATTTAAAGAGTAAGAAGATACAAAAGCATTTCCATTAAGGATATCACGAAAAAGTTTTAAACGTCGAGAAAATATTGTTAAAGTGTTATTCTTAAATTGTGAAATAATATCATTAATTTGAGAATCAAATTCGGATATTGATATCATATGAGTATTAATAAATGTTGTATTTAGAAATTGATTTAATGCATTATTAATCGTTGTTTGAGAAATTTGACATAATTTTGATAAAAATAAAGAATACGAAGCACCACGTACACGAATATCGCGTCGATCATAATAATACCAATTTGCCCTACCGAATAGATAATCATGCCATTTTTTACTAATAAAATCACTTGAACATACTACATGAAATGTTGTATTTATTTGTATAAAATGTTTATATTCGATCGAAATATTCTTACAAGGACATTTGAGTAATTCCGAATAAGATTTTAATAATCGATTGTAATCATTTTGAGAAGGATTTAAAAAAATTTGAGGTTTATGTCTGTCTGAGAACATTGTATACATTGCTATAATACACATTGAAATCGACAAAACCACTATATAAACTCGAGTTGATATTCTTTGACGACGAATAGTTTCAATATGAGTTGATTCATCATCAAATAAGTTTAATAATAATAATCTATTGATTAGTCGTTTCATTAGATTAAATACAACATTGTTACCAATTTCATCGTTCTCTAAAAAAATTATCAATTTAATATCTTAGTGAACACAGATGTTCGTCTTCGAAAAATAGGATAAAGAAACAAAGTTCTCATGTATCTACTAATTTCTTTTATAAGAAAGATGATAACTGCGATACGAATTCACCCTCAAAAAGCTATAACTAGTTCGAATGTTTTGTAAATGAATTATGATGAAAATAAATGTAAGAACTTACGGTGATTATTATCTTGTTCTTCAGTTAGATTTTGTGATGGTCTTTGACGCTTTAACTTATTAATGATTTTGAAAATAATCTTGATAATCAATGGTGAGATCAAGTTAAGAATAACATTAATTCCACCAATAAGACCAACAATAACAGTAATAATGTAAATAATATTTGCTTTCTTCTCATATGTAACTGAACAAAATGATGGTTTACATTTCAAAAAATAACTGGCAAATGAACGAGAAATATTCCATTCTTCAATCATCATTTCATTAAAAATTGTTTCAATTGTTGTATTTGGATGATATCGGCTAGATAAGTTTCGATCAAGTAGAATTGTAGAATTCTCATGTACTGAAATATTATATCTTTCAACAAATCGTCGTACTTGATAGATGCAATTCTTATTAAACCAACATATTAATGATGATTGCATTACAGTATTAATAATTGAACAACCTATATGTACGCCTTCAAGGTGCATACCAACACCATACAGTGGATCTTCATCATAAATCGTATGGTTTAAATGGCATGTTGAATCAATAACACAATAACATTTATCATTATTTGTATTAATAGTATATATAGGAAAGATCAACATTTTGACCGAATATAATCCAGTACTCATATTTTGAAAAATAGATTTAAGACGAGTATTTGTTATGGTACGACTTAAATATTGATTACTATGAAGTAATACATTCGTTAAATTTGTTCGATCGAGAAATTCAGTTTTTGTTGATTGCTTAAACGTATCTATCGATGAATTTATTTGTGAATAAAATAAATTAGATGTTAAAAGTTGAGAATTAATTAAATTTCTTGATAGAAATCTTTTCTTAGCATCATTTATTGTTTCATTTGCTAAAGAACAAAATGTTTCTAATATTCGAAACTTTGATGCAGCAATTGACAAAAATTCAATATTTTTATAAGAACTACTGTAAGGAGTATTAGACAATGAAAAACGATCATACCATGATGATTGAATAAAATGACTTCTACATACTTGATGATAGTCAACCGTAATATTGATGATATCTTTATAAAGAATTGATATTTCAGTGCATGGACATGTTACTCTTGATGAATGTCGTTTTGCGAGATTTTCATAATCATATTGAAATGGATTTAGTATTTTTTCAGTAACTGTTTGATTTGAGAAATCAGCATATAAAATATAAATATTGATGGAAATGAATAATGAAAAAAGATATAATCGTGTAGAAAGAATTTCATGATAAATACGTGTTGAATCTCGAGAGTTGGTATCATATAAGTTTAAATTGATGATTTTAATTTTAACTGTATTGAAAAGTTTTTTTAAACGAGTTCGAATTGTTTCATCTAAAATGAAAAATTTTATTTATAATTTTTTGTATTTTTTCAGTATTACTTTGATCTTGTGCAACTTGTTCTGTTGCTGATTCTTTTGAGAAAAATCGTTTTTTTATAAATAAAATCAACTGAACAATAAGAGGAGCGATTATAGATAATACAGCTGTTATACCTCCGAAAATCGCAATAATAACAGTCATAACCGATATCCAATTAAATCGATGAAAATAAACATAAGTACAAATATATGGTAAACATTCGGAATAATATTCAGAATAAATAGTTTTATTGAAAATCTCTTCAAGAAATAATTCTTCAACAAGTGATTCAATTGTTGTATTTAAACTAAAACGACTTGTTAATGATTGATTGAGAATTGAAATATTCATCTTTGTTTGATAAGTTGAAAGAAAAATATTCAAACATGATTGATCATAAAAACATTCTAAGGATGATAAAAATGTTGATTGGATTGGTAAACAATCAATTATTATACCAGCTAAACTTTCATTTGCTTCAATTTGATTTAAATCATAAGTTTCACGTTTCTCTTTTATATTGTTGTCATACAAATAAAGATTTCCCGGTAAAGGACATGATTCTTCATCTTTACAAGAACAACGTCTCATAGATCCTTTTTGTATATATATGTTTCCTTTGATTTCAGCTTGCGGAGGAAAAGCAAAATGTATGACTATTCCTGCTTTTGTGGTAGCGATATAATTTGTTAATAATCCTGTTATTAACTGATTTGCTTGTGCCATTTTATGAACAAATTTTATCGATTGTATAAAATTAGATGCTGTTGTTTGACGTGATAAATTTAAAGTTGTTTGAACTTTTGCGTTTAATATTTGTTTAGTCACTAATGTTGGATTTACCCATGGAGAATTCTCGAATTGATCAAGTGCATCAATAGTCGTATTTGTTGCACTTTGACAAAATGATCGAATTAATTGCCATATTGCACTCATACTTGTTCGCACGTCGAATGGCATAATCAGTTCGACATTTACTTTGAATATAAAATCGATCCATTTTTGAGAGACAAAATCTGTTAAACACACTTGATGAAATTTTGGAATTATTCGAACAAATTTTCCATGAGGAATAGAAACTTTTGTACATGAACATTCCAAGCTATCGGAATATTTCTTTTGAAGTTTTTCATAAAGAGATTGACTTGGAAATGTCACTGTTTTATTCTCGATTCGATTGTTAATTGTGGTATATGTGGTTAAAATAATGAGAGAAATCATAACAAGAATAATATAGAGACGAGTTGATAAGATTTCTTGACGAATGATTAATGGATCGGATGATCGAGTATTAAAAAGATTCCATCCACGCGCTCGGTCACGCACAAATTCACACGATGATCGCAAAATTAATCTCACAGACATGAGTACGTAGGCAACAGATTCTTTGATTATCTGTTAATAGTCTAAGATACTCTTGGGAGAAATTCTTACTTTGATAAACGCGGCAAAAGAATACAACAGATTTTCTTCATTACTGGAAAGATTTTCTGATTTAAATAGTAGCTTTATTCGCCTACATGCTGACGTCAATGTAACAGATTTGTTGAAACAGTTCTTATATGAACAACAAAATTTTTTCTGACGTGTTAGAAACACAAATGATACCAGATGCTATAAGTTACTTTCTTTTATCAATACAAGATGACGTTCATCGGCAACTACCATATGTTTTCCAACTATGATTAATAAATGAACAACATTTCAAAATTTTCGCAATTCTTAATGAACGCTACAGTCAAGGCAACAATAATACCCGACTAGCTTTTGGATTGAATTTTCATCGCGCGTTCGCACTCATGTGAAACACTATTTAGGTGATACACTCCGATCCCATTCATTCATATACTATTTGATAGACTATAATGAAGTAGTCAAAACCTAAAAATATTATCGGCTACCATTACCTCTTTGAAATTTAGTGGATATAAACAGATATAAGAGATGTTGTAACCTATTTAAGTCCTCATCATCAGTGATCATTTCAGTTTTTTTCTTTCTCAATCACAGATGTGTGATGTTTTTCTTTCTTTTTTTTGTTCTTTTTGATTCTCCATATTTGAAGTTGGATTTATTCTATTTATTGTTATCTTTCCTTCTGAAGATGCAGGATGGTCG